ACCGCTGCCTGCACCGCTGCCTGCACCACTGCCTGCGCTTCCATGGCTGCCCAGTGGCTCTGCTGCAGTGGGGCCGGGACCTCAAAGCAGTTGCATAGGCTGGAGCAGCGTTACAGGTCTCTTCATTTAAGTGCAATATCCCTGGGCAAAGAGCTGCGAGTTCCTGGGGAGGAGCTGCTATGGCTTATGGAAACCTACTTTGCTTGGAATATCAGCTGAAGCGGTGCATGGGTGGCTGGGAAGGTCCAAAATCATGGTGCTGGGCATGGGTCTGGTGGGCCGCAACACCACACCGAGCAGTTCTCTGCTGCTGTCTTGTACTGTGTTGTGGATACATGGCCCTCATAATCCACCCTGGTGGAGAGGGTGTTTGAAGAGCTGGTGACTTCTCTGCAAGCACACAGCCGTGGTGAGTGACCCTTGAGTCTATCCTGGGCTGGGAGTTCATGAATGGTGTAGGAGGCTGCAGGCTGGGAGCAGCAGAAGGGCAGTGAGCTGCTGTTGGACCTGAGCAGGGAGGAGAGAGCTCTGGTTGTGCTAGCGGGTTCCTTCAGTGCTCCGATTCGGTACCACTTCCTTTCGCATTTGGTGTGGCCAAAAATCCGTTCCTGAGAGCCTACTGAAGATGAGTTGTGGAAAAGAAAAGCAAAGGTGTTTTCCTAAATGCTCGTTTAATTGTATACTTTTTTTTTTCCTCAATATCTGATTCAAAAATCCAAAGTTTGCACAAGTTGGCAATAAAATTCTCCAAATCAAGACTGCTTTGGCCATGACAAGTACCCTTACTCCAGCTAGTAAAAGTGTCTAAGAGCTGTCTGGTGGCCCAGCTTGTACAGCAGTTCCAGCTCAAGTGTAGCCTTCTTTAGGATGCTGTACATACGGGGAAGTGGTTCCTTCCCTCAGTGGCACTTGTTTTCACTCTTTATTGCTGCCTAACTGACATCGCCAGTAAGACACCGATTGTCTCGTTTTCAGGTCAGCCCAGGCTGCTTTAGCTTTCTCCGTGTGTTAAGCCAATTAATGGTCTTCTCTGGGCTCACTAGTATGTTACAAGGATGTAAGGTTGTTAAGACTTCCTCTGTGCTTCTTGTTTCTTTCTGTTGCATGCCTGACTCCTTTAGAACAGGGCAGATGTATTTCAGAGCTCTAGGCGAGCTTTCCCCACAATGGCTATTTGTGCTTTCCCTGTTTTTCTCAGTACATACCAAAATCATCAGAAGCATAAAAGCTGGCAAAGCAGTTCAGGTCTCATTTTGTCTGAGTGATAGTTCTGGGCAGGTTTCACCGCATGGCAAGCATAGCCTCCACTTCCAGAGGATCCCAAAGCAATCTACAGAGATCGATACTAAAATGATCATCCTACTTAAGGAAAGGCAGCTGTTCTGTGAGATGCAGAAAACAACCCTAGATCAGCTAGTAGATACAGAGTAGAAAAAGCAGAGTAACATCAGGTCTCTGGAGCAGGAGGTGGGGAGAATCTTCTGGTAGAACGGGGTCAACACTTTGATAGACTCATCCACTTCCAGAAATACTGAACATGCTTAACTATGATTTATAAGTTTAGTTTGAAAATTGTTTTCTGTGTCCAAATAGCATGGTTTTTGTTTGGAAATCTGAAAGATATAAGCCCTGCGTAGTGTGGGAGTCTCAAAAAAAGTGGAAAGTGGAAGGCTAAGTTATATAATGAAGTAACAGAGGAAAGTTCTATATGCTGGCTGTGATTTGGGAGTAGTGCGTTTTCTGGGGAGTTTTGTGCTGCCTCTTAAAAAGTACAGGAGAAAAGACAGGATGAGGTGTCCCTGCCCATGGCGGGGGGGGGGGTTGGAACTAGATGATCTTAAAGTCCTTTCCGACCCAAACCATTCTAGGATTCTACGATTCTATGAACTAATCTAACTCAGTTTGGGACAGAAACCTGCCAGCTATTCCAATTGTCCACTTTGAGACAATGGTTATCATAAGCATTTCCTATTAAAAACTCTTGTTTCAACACTGTTTATATTCTTACCTCGTATCTGTGCTGTGCGCCACAGTGCTGGTGTCTCTATTCCCCACATCTTCTGCATAGAAGTTAAAAGAAAGCCTGTTTCTGCAGCTGACAAGGTATCACCTGAGCCACAGCATCCACCATGCTTGGAGGGAAAAACTGGAGCTTCCCTCCAATGAATCAGAAACTTGTCCTACAGTTACCAAAAGAGAGAAGAGGTGACAGGGACGTGGGCCATCACCTCTGCCAGCCACGTTACTGCTCTCAGCTCCCGGCAAGCCACCCACTCACCACAGAGCACTGGCCCTTGCTGCTTCCCCAGACCAGGTCTGAAACCATCCTACTTGCAATTTGGGCAAAGCCCTGTTTTGAGGAACTTCATGAGGTTGGCATGGGCCACCTCTCAAGCGTGGCCAGGTCCCTCTGGATCCCATCCCTTCCCTCCAGCGTATCAACCGAGCCACACAGTTGGTGTCGTCGGCAAACTTGCTGAGGGCGCATCAATCCCACTGTCCATGTCACCGACAAAGATGCTGACGATGGCTGAGGGCACCTTCACAGATGGGCCTCAGGACAAAGGGTCTGCATTTATTTGGCTGCTGACAAAAGTAACTATGTCAGTCTGCAATCCCTCAGGCAGATCTGGGGTAGGAACCTGCTTAAGAGCTGTAGTGGTATCTTGTCCTCTGCAACAGGAGAAGCTGCTCTGCTGCAGTGCTAGTGCAAAGAAAGTATTTCACTCCCTGCCCTCCTGACCCTGTTCCTGCCACCAGCTTCCTTCCTGCCATTTATCCATCACCTTACTCGCGAAATTATGGTATCAGGGAGGAAAACAGAAAGTCACCACTGAAGAAATTGTTAGAAGCAACCCATGTTTATTTTCATCTCAGCAGGGTAGCAGGTTCACCCTGTCACAGCGAGACACAGCAGTGTAACGCTGGGAGCCGTGCTGCAGTTCTATCCAGGTACAGACCAGCAGCAAGGAGCACAGCCAGGCACTCTCTGAGAAGCTTCCCGAGACACCTTCACAGGGACCAAGCCTTAGCACAGCTCTCCAAAGGACACTTCCTCACACAAGGTCCACTGAGGTCACTGAAGAGATTTCTCGCAGATCCATGGGGCAAGGATTCCACAGCTGGAAGCATGAATGGCACCATCCAGGAGAACAGCACAGTTCTGCACGGGGCTGTTGTACAGGACCCTGGGAGACATGGGCAGAGCACACAGGCAGGAGGACTCCTCTCTAGAGGGGTCCTTACTTTGGCAGGGGGAAGAACCTCACACATCTTTGGAGGTAGGAGACTCACTGAAGCTGAACTTCATGACCTTGTGTCAGGACAGACCCATCCTGGAACATGGGAGGTCTGGCAGCGGGCCTTGCAATGCCCAGAGCTCACGGTGAGACTTAGAGGTAGTCTGTCTCATTTTGGGCTCTCCTCAGCCTCATTTTGGGCTCTCTGTTTCCCATCACTAATGAGAGAAAAGTCCTGCCCCACAGGGGATTTTTTGCTGCTCCACTTAAAGTGTTTGGAGACCTTGGGACAGAAAGTATTGAGTGTTCCAGTTTAAATGTGTTGTATGGGCATGTGGAAGATGAAAGCCTGTGCTTCATTAAGGTTTTCCAATTGAAAACTCTTTTAATGCAAAGGGGGATTAATGATGAAACAGAAATCCACAGACACACAAATCTGCTGCAAAAGGAATAACAGCAGCAACAGCAAAGACTAAAAGTGTGTGGCCACTACTTAATGGGCCGTCAAGAAACTCCAGGCACAGCTTCGGAGAGGGACACCGTAGGCTTTGTAACCGATAAAAGAGAGGGGAGGAGGAGGAGGATTTGGGGTGTTCCAGGTGGGCCTGTGCAAAACCTGTCAAGAGAGAGGGGGGTGTGTGTGTGTTCACTAGTGAGCTTCAATCCTGAGCAGCCAGAGAGGAGAAAGGGGACTTATCTGCCTATAGTTGTGCTTTATGTGAGTCCTAGTAGCATTACGTGCGGGTGCTGCTGAGGACAATGCCTTGTTTGTTGGCAGCGTGTGCAGCCGGCTGTGCCAGAGTCCTTTGCCTGCACATGTGTCTGCGTTTGTGTCTCCGGGACACATGCTCAGCTTCCCTAGTGAGTGATCTTACAAGCGGGAAAGCAGCCGCTGTGCCCCTCATCCTGGGATAGAGGCTCCCACATCTCGGTGCACCAGGCTGGGCTCCAGCAGCCGGGCAGGAAGAACCCTTTAGTTCTGGAGTTGCTGGAGCCAGCAGCTACTCTGAACGTTCGTTAGCAGCTGTGTTCATTCCTAATAGGCTTCCACAGGCTACAGATGGAACATTCCAGTTAAAAGTTTAAGGGCACAGGAAGGACCTCGAGCCCTTTACTTTATGGAAAAATACAGAGGAAATACCATACTCACTTTTTGCCATTTAGTTTCGAGCCATCTTCCCAGACCCAGCCATAGCCAGTGCTATTCTGCAAACCAATCCAGTAGGATTTGGTGTGCATCATCTGGAAGAAGTCCTAGGAGGGACAGAGAGGCAGAGAGATCAGGAGTCGCGGGGAAAACCCAGTCAAGTCCTGGGTTCTGGGGGAAACAATGGGGCGCTGTGTGAGAGAGGGAGGTTTGGGGCTATCTCTCATCGTCCTTTAGACACCCACACCCTTCCTTACTGTAGGGACCTACTTTGTAGGCTCAGGGTTTCGGAGTTCCAGGCAGCTCCCCAGCTGTGGGTCTGAGGGCTAAACCCAAGACAAGCTCAGCAAGGGCCCGCGGAGAGCAGCACGTCCGTCTTGCAAAGGCCCTTTAACACTTCCCCTTCCCCGCAGAGGGGAAGAGCTGGGCAGCACAGTGCCCTCGACCTGCTCCCCCCTAATCCTACTACCTTGCGTGGCAAAGAGCCTCAGTCCTGGCAACTGCAAAGGCACCCACCATTTCGCTGGCATCGCTGATCACCAGGAGATGAGCTCCCTGTGCCCTGCAGGACTGCCGGCTGGAATGCCAGTCCTTCTTCTGCGTGGAGAGGGAGTAGCAGCTCTCTCTGTAGGCAACCCACTGCTCAGGGCAGCGGGGACACGGGTAGCCTGCGAAACAACCGTACAGCTCTTGGCTCGTTCATAGTCACAGCCCACTTCACTGCAAACACATCTCTCACTCGCACCCTCTCCAGAAAACGATTCTCCAGGGTTGCAGGA